GCTGCAGCTACTGGCCCCTGCCCTTGAGCGTCAGCCACAGAAATGCCCTGCAGTGGTACCTCCCTCGTGTTTGATTCCAACGGCAATGTCACAGGATTGTGTTGAGGCATTTGCAAAGACTCCATAACAGCCTGGGTCACTGCAGAAGTAATTCTGGCAATGGTGGAATCCGAAAGGTCCGGAGGAGTCGTTCCTTGCACTGTAGGAGTCGTTCCTGGCACTCACAGGTGGAGCTAGGCCTGGATCCTGAACAATTGGTTGGTGGCTGAGTTCTTGTTGATCTCGGACGAGCAGCCATAGGCTACTCTGCACGCCGTTGGATGCGGGTACTTGGTCTTGTTCTTGGCATTATTTCTAAAGAGAAACTGCAAACAGGGCAGACTACAAGCCACTGATAATATCTTGTCAAATGATAGGACAATATATTACCAGGCACTGTTCCACAACAAACACAATTTTAAAGTTTACAACAAACAAACAACTACTGATCTACAACTCTATAGTAAACGATTGTTAAATATGGCATACCACAAAGGTAGCCGAACAAATTAACTGGGCCATCTGAAAACAACTTGCCGCGCCGTCCCACATATATTGAATTGAACTATGGGCATTTGAACACCTAGGTCCTATCCCATGTAGGCATATATTTCCATGACCAAGAAACTGTGGCCTAAATTTATGCTAAAAGTGCATAAATTCAAGGACAATACTGTACAGTGGTTTGATTCAAACAGAACGACAAAACAATTAACATTTGTACAAAACGCCCCAAGCACACAACATAAACTATATACAGTACCGGTACCTCACATCACACTATATTAATATATAAAACAGAAGCCACAAATTCATGAATATTTCCTTCGCATGAAAATATAATTGCTCAATTCTCAATGTGGTATTTGCAAACAGCAAGTGCTCAGCCCAGACACATATTCACACAGACCCTTGGGCCCCGGGAATTACACCATAAATTGATAATCATATCACATTTGTATGATTTGTATTAATGTCATTGAGGACTTTATTTAATATATGCACATGACATTTAATAAGTACAATAACCTTGGAAAAATCCAAGTACTGCAAATAAAATGAAGTAAAATTTTAATATCGATCGTGCAACATATTAAGAGCTTTAAAAATTGCTCCTCGATAACTCCTGTATAAAATATACTGTCCGTGGGGGTTGCAGTGAACCCCATCAGGAGACAACAAATCAATTCTACCATATTTGTCAACTTTACGATGGTCCCAAAGAAATACGCCACGTTCATTCGCCAAAACGACAGACAAATACTGCCGCAGAATAGAAGCTTTTGCATGAAAAGCATGGTCCGGTGTGTCGGAATGCGGAATGTGCCTATTTATAACTTGGCACACGGCAATGACCTTTATGGTTAACTCGTCAAGCATATAGCGTACGAGATCGTCTATCCGCGAACCGACCACCTCCGAAGAAAGGTTTTACAAATCGTTCGTCCCTATTTCCAAAACGACGATATCCGGTTTTAGAAGGAAATATCATACTTAGACACTTTGTCTACAGCTCGACCGCCCGAGCCCTTCAAAAGATACGTACCCGCCTGAATCGGCCAGGTTAAAATTTTGTTTGGAACGGGAATCAAAACCATTATTTAAATCGTCATTTAAGCGGCTCACAAAAGAATGGCCAAATACCAAAACATTAGGAATGAAACCCGACATATTTCTTGAGGATAAATAAGATAAATAAGATAAAAGGAAACACACAAACCTGAAAAAGGTGGCGGTCAAACATATAATTGGTCGAAACGTCGAAATACAAATTGGTCTTTAATATTATGGGCGCTTTTAAGCATTTTATGTTTTCCTAACTTAAATGGAAACTATGGAGATAAGCTCATGCAGCACAATGTCATATGGCCAATGTTACCTTTACAAGTTTTCCTTCACCAGTTAATTTGCTCCAGTGTGCAACTTTTCCATGCCAAGGGGCTTTGGTCCAAAGGTAAAGTCATGCCAGCCTGTGAACAAGGACAATTTGCCCGTGTATACGGCAGCCAAGGAAGACTTGAAAAGTGTATGCAAGAAATACTTCCGTGGTTTTGCCAAACAAAATACACACGAGCAACAAAACTTGTCAAGAAAAACTTGTCAAGTGAAAACTTGTTGACGATACTGTCCGCGCACGAGAACGCAAATTTGTCAAAGGAAAGGTTCAGGAAAAACATGCTCGTTTGTGCGGGGTTTTAGTATCTATAGAGAAAGAGAGGGTGCATATGGGGTCTAGCAATTTTCCATATCGTTACGCAATTTAACTTTACTGTATCTTGATATAGCTATACTTCGGTTAACTTTCAAAGTCTATTCAAACAACTTCTTAGTCAAGAACCAGCTGGATGCGACCGCTTTATTGTTATATTATAATTTATTTTTAGATACGTCAGCTAGTTACGAACATCAATTACCAGAGGTTATGTCAGTATTTACTGAACTGTCCTACCGGAAATTTACACTTCATGATGATTTTATGTATTTTTAAAAATAAAAATGTGAAATAAAAGAGATTACTACAATTAATTAGACTTTTACTATAATATTTGCACAAAAATAAAATCTTTCGTTGCTGAATAATGTACTTAAGCCCGTTTACCCTTTAGCGAAAATGTTAGCGCCTAAGCATGCGTGAAAAATTCAGGGACTGGCCTTCAAATTTCCGGTTGGAGGTGGCGTTCCAGTTATATTATTTTCAATGGCTGATACATATACTCAGAACATTTCGTAGTTTTCTTCTCTTTCACATGCAACGGAAGAAGAAAATCGGACTAGATAGTTCAGCAAAAAGACAATTTTAAAACACAAATGTTGAAATCTGTTATTTCGTTAAAGGGTGATGAACATATATGACAACACAAACAGCTGCAGAACATTCGTTCAGCTTTTTTCTTCGAACAATGCAGCCCGGAGACCCTCATAGTGTGTAAGCAATAGCATAGTACTCATTCGCTCGGTTATTTACAGTCGGGTCAGGGAATTAAAGCAAGCGAAATATCAAATGTATCAAATTCATTCTGACAAGGTCGGCAACGCAAAGGGGGATGAGGGGGGGGGGAGGGGCGGGGAGGGAGGGGGCGGGAGGAGGGCGAGTGGAGGGGCGGGAGAAGGGGTGGGAATGCCTGCGTTCCAACTTTGAATATAGTTACAACTTTTGAATGTTTCAATTTAAATGCACAAACTTCACGACATTTCCAAAATTTCCTAATAGATAAAAAATTGCAAAACAATTGCTATAGCAATATACGCTAGAAATATTTCTTGGTATTAAATAAACCCAAGAATTTGGCTAAGAACGGCGTCACCACGTGTTCGGGAGTTGCAGTTGGTGTGACACCCCCGGCCCCCCAAAAATTTTATTTGAAGCTTCAGTCGGCAGGACTGCTACAAAATATTTTAATAAAAATATGTTTGACGAATAAAACTACTACCGATATAATTTTCACCTGTTATATCAGAAATGTAAATTTTGGTTACTCGAAATTTACTCAGCAGGATAATTAACAATTATTGTATTAAAGGAATACCGAATGGTTTTCCGTGCAGGATTGCGTGATACGTGCACGAGGGATGTTGCGAGACTTTCGGAAAGCGTAAAAATCACGAGCCGTAGGCGAGTGTATTTTTACGCTTTCCAAAAGTCGAGCAACATCCCAAGTGCATGGATCATGCTATCCTGCCACGGGAAAACCATTTGGTAATTGTTTTATAAAATTACTACAGTGAAACGACGTTTAACTTGATTAAAATTACTGATGAAATGTGCAGTTCTCACAACATTCGTGAATTAACCAATCAGAGAATCGCTAATCCACGCTATTGAAAACAACAACATATGTGAACAGAATTTGATCGCAAATTCGCGAAAGTATACAGCGAAAATAGAGGGACTTTTTCGATAAAATATACGAAATTTGAAATGGAAAACCCGCTAAACAGACAGTCAAAGTCGTAGTGAAGATTCTCTAGCTGAATATGTGAAGATTGCGAAGCGTTTGATCAACTTTGAACTTTTGAAGCGAGAGATGTTGTACTTGCATGCCATGGTCTGATGAATTTCAACGCTTACGCGTTGCTACTTGCTGAATAGCAATGTATCGATCAGAAATTTATTCATACAACTAAACCAACGTCTCAATAATTGGAAACTTACTTCAAAGTCGAAAGGTATCGTACAATGAAACTTTACAATGCGAGTATATTTGTAAAATTATATGCAATAATTTCTGTTCACAATTTCCCGTACAGGATTGTCTGATCCTGCACGGCTGTTGACCAATCAAATTGCGTGTTTCACTGTAGTTATTATATAAAGGTTTTTGTGATATGCGGAATTATCAAGGTTGAGCCGAAGCCGAGACCTTGATAATTTTGCATATCACAAGAACCGAATTCAATAATTGTTTTATTACACATTTGAAGAATAATAAACATAGTATTAACACACGAAAAACTTTATTTATGAAAACATAGGCACACCCAATAACACATCAATTAATTCATAAGATATAAATAAGCCCAAAAGTTAAACAAGACAAACACGTCGAACAGTTAAATTAATTGCAAGTATAAAAGAAACATATTAAAGGGGAAGTCAGAGTTCAGAACAACTTAGGCTGATATGAAAGATCATATAATGCTTACCTCTCACGCAAAGTCCCACATCTCGAAGTTATAAACAAGTCGAGAAATAAAGCGATAAATGTGCTAAAATTTACATATAATCAAAATATATATTCAAAATGGCCTGTATTCAAAATAGCCATATATTCATGGCCATATATTCATGGCCATATATTGATATATTACCATTAATATATTCAAAATGGCCGCATTTCAAAATGGCCGTCGATTGTTTTCGCTGATTCGTTTTTTATCGTATTACTGTTGTTTCGTGCATTTTTCCGGTTTCATAATCTAAAAATTATTCTAAGTAACTAAAGAAGCTTTTTTCGAGTAAAATGGGTGATCAATCTGTTTTGGGGGAGGCGACGAGTGCGAAAAGTGATGTTTTTCCAGAAGAACTAAAGGGGAATGACGAAAATTTGCCTCCAAACGACGACATGGTGTTTGAAGAGGTAGAAAAATCCAGAAAAAATTATGGATATGAGTTCTTGATTGCTGAATCTCGGTTTGATTTTTGGATAAAAGCATTGATGTTAAGGTGGCCTAAATCCACTTGATGAAAACACAATTGTTGAAATCATTATTCATGTTAGTAATGTTCCAGACGATGCCTCTAATGTTGATGCTACCGATAATCCGCCGTTATTTTCAATTACAATATCGGCGATAGAAAGGAGAGAAAGGTTAAAATCTCCCAGAAGTATACTCTTGTATCGAAAAATACGGAGTTTCCTAAACTAAAAAGTCTAGTAGATAGGCTTCAAGTTAATAACGAACTAGATGCTGATACGATTAGAGATGACTATGCTGATATTTTTCAAGGGTCAGAAGATGCCGAAAGTTTAAATTTATCATCGCTGGATCTTTTGGAATTCTTATGGGACGTTTCACTTTTGTCCACCAACGAGAATACGACAAAGAGTTTTCAACCATAGGATAAATCTATTAAAGTCAAATCCAAAGTTAAAGGGTCAAATAAAGTACGTGTAAAACTATTATCAAGCCCAGTTTGTAAAAAGAATACATCGAAGACAAAGATGCCCGCAACACCATCAGCAAGGGTCGCTAAACAACAAATCATTAACATAAATAATATACAACAATGTGCGCAACGTGTGACAAATCTCGAAAAAGTTGTTGCACGTATCGATAAGGAGGCGGTGAACTCCAACGCCAAATTAAGTGCTCTTAGCGATACCCTTTTTCAAAGTTTGGCAAATAGAGTCCAAAATGAAATGTCAATTCTGAGGAAAGCTTTCGACGAAAAAGTTTTGCAATACGGTGAACGTACTAATAAAGCCGAATTGGAAGTCAAAAAATTGCAAGGACGGCTTGGATCCCTGGTTGAAGAGAAGAATCAATTATCCAAAAAAATACGATGTTTTGAAAAGTCAAATAAATCATTATCAGACCAAGTCGAAGAATTACAAAATAATACAAAAGATGATGCAGTGCAGAGAGAATCGGGACGTGCAGTTCAGAACGAGCTAAGCGCCAATGTAACGGACAGAAATGAACCCGAAGTCCTAATAACTAAAGAAGAAAGTGGTCCCATACCAACTAAAAAAGCCGATCCTTCAGAAAGCGGTGATTCCAACGAGCAAACTGTTGAGAACCAAGGAGAAAAAAGATGATTGATCAAGGAAGCCCAGAAGAGTACGATTTTGTCTTTCTATGTGATTCCAACAGAAAATTCATCAACACACAGCTGTTATGTCCTAACAGAACGGTAAAATCATCCCTTGTGGTACTTCCAGTCAAACAATTAAAATTATGTCTGATCACCACGTTTCCAGGTAAACGAAGCGCTTATAATAAATACAGGTGTTAATGATGTTGAACATTTAACGTTAGATGAGGTTATTCAGAAGCAGTTAGAGATGGTAGATACAGCTAGAAAGGCATTTCCGGGAAAAAAGATCATTATTTCGAGTGTTACTCCACGAGATGATGATTTCGATGAAGACATTCGGGCAATAAACCGAGCAATCCAAAGCGAAATTTTAAATTTCAATGATGTAATTTACGCGAACAATGATAACCTACGAGACAGAGCCCTGTATTTTGACCGTAAGCACTTAAATAGAAGTCGGGGTGTTCGTAAGTTTGCAGCGAACATAAAAAGAGCAATTAGAATGGCAAGCGGCGTTGTGGACAACAAGCCACGCTACCCATCCTATCATAGTGGTGATCCGCATCCGATCCGACGTGACGATCGTGCTCCATACCCTCACCCTCGTTATTAATCCTACCACAGTGATGATCTGCATCCGATCCGACCCGACGATCGTGTTCCATACCCTCAACACCGTTATGGAAGCTCCGTAAATCCCTTACTAAGACCAGAAGATATGTGGAGAAAACAGGATGGTATTGCTACACAACCTATCGAAGTCAGCAAAGAACACGAAACAAAGAAGGAAAATGGAATCAATTATGTCTTTTCCCAGCTAAGTACATTAAATAAATTAGTTAATGTTTTAGTGTCAATAACTTGCAGCGCTGTAGAATGAAGTATCCGCAGTCTACAGCCTCTCCATCTTCTTTTCCACTATATAGTTTGGCTGTTAGTCAACCTTCCATACCCTTAGTTCTGAATGTGTTGCAGGTACATATACGTCTTTGGTTATTGTAAGAATTAGTTAATGCAGTTAAAAAAAACTTTTAAAATTTTGTTCCTGGAATATTGAAGGACTTTTGGGAAAACTGGATGATAAAAAATGATAGTACAGTAAATATACAAGGTTTTTATTCTTTTTCCAAGTGTAGGCAAAAGCATGATAAAGCTTGGAGGAACTCGGGTGGTATAACTGTGTTGGTGAGATCAGAGTTGAGAAAATGGATCAGATTTTTTGATAAAGAAAGTAATGAACAGTTTATTTGGTGGAAATTAGACAAAGTTTTTTTTTTACATGAAACGAGATTTGTTTATATGTAGTGTTTATATTCCTCCGCAAAACTCGCCTAGGGAACGTCGTCTAGACAGCGACCATTTTCAATCTCTTCAGGAAAATATCTACAAATTTTCAAAATTAGGGAGCATAATATTATGTGGCGATTTCAATGCTAAAATTGGTGATTTAGATGATTGTATAAAAAACACGTCAGTTTTAGAAGATTTTTTCCCATCTACCTGTCCTCCTAACGGTTCAATTGAAATTGAATCACGCAATTCCAAAGACAATCACTGCAATTCACATGGGAAACTATTAGCAGAGTTGTGTTGCGGGAATGATTTAATTCTGCTAAATGGTAGAACGAAGGGTGACTATATCGGTCAATTAATCTGTCGAACATATAATGGAGCTAGTGTGGTTGATTATACTATTGTTTCTTCAGAGGTCATCAGCGAAATTAAATATTTTACTGTCTCTGAAATCACACACTTCTCGCATCATTGTTTTCTTTCCTTCGGTTTAGAAACTGAATCTTATTTACCACTAAGGACAGAAAAAACTTTACAATTGTCGTCACTTCCTATGTCTTTTATGTGGAATGATGCTCTAAAAACTACTCTTAGGGAAAATCTTAGTAATACCTGCATTTTGAATGAAATGAATACTTTGTTTCAATCTCCACAAGATCAGGATGTTGATTCATTAAGCTTGCTACAAGCCTATTGCGGAAAGTCAATTTCACAACTTGATGGACCGGCATTGTCAAACTTATTAACAACCTTGCTACAAGCCTGTTGCAAAAAGTCTATTTCACAAGTTGATGGAACGGAATTATCTCAACTTGCTAAAAACCTTGCTACAAGCCTGTTGCGAAAATTTTATTTGACAAGTTGATGGAGAGGTATTGTCACAACTTGTTAACAAGCTTGCTACAAGCCTGTTGCAAAATGTCTATTTCGCAAGTTGATGGAACGGCATTGCCGCAACTAGTTAACAAGAGCTAGCTACAAACCTATTGCGAAAAGTCTATTTCACAAGTTGATATATCGAACGGAATTATCTCAATTTGTTAACAAGACCTGTTGCGAAAAGCCCGGTTGCGAACAGTTTTGTTGACAAGTTGTTGGAACGGCATTGTGTCAACTTGTTAACAAGCTTGCTACAAGCCTGTTGCGAAAAGTCTATTTCACAAGTTGATGTAACGGCATTGTCACAACTTATTAACAAGGTTGCTACAAGCCTGTTGCAAAAAGCCTATTTCACAAGTTGTTGGAACGGAATTATCACAACTTGCTAACAACCTTGCTACAAGCCTGTTGCAAAAAGTCTATTTCACAAGTAGATGGAACGGAATTATCTCAACTTGCCGCTAACAACCTTGCTACAAGCCTGTTGCGAAAATTTTATTTGACAAGTTTGATGGAAAGGTATTGTAACAACTTGTTAGCAAGCTTGCTACAAGCCTGTTGCGAAAATATTATTTGACAAGTTTATGCAACAACATCCTCACAACTTGTAAACAAGTTTGCTACAAGCCTGTTGGGAAAAGTCTATTTCACGAGTTGATATATGGAACGGAATTATCTCAACTGTTAACAAGCTTGTTACAAGCCTCTTGCGAAAATTTTATTTGACAAGTTAAAGGAAAGGTATTGTAAAAACTAGTTAACAAGCTTGCTACAAGCCTTTTGCGAAAATATTATTTGTCAAGTTTATGCAACAACATTGTCACAACTTGTAAACAAGTTTGCTACAAGCCTGTTGCGAAAAGTCTACTCCACAAGTTGATATATGAAACGGAATTATCTCAATTTGTTAACAAGCTTACAACAAACCTATTGCGAAAAGCCCGGTTTCGAACAGTTTTGTTGACAAGTTGATGGAACGGCATTGTGTCAACTTGTTAACAAGCTTGCTACAAGCCTGTTCCGAAAAGTCTATTTCACATGTTGATGGAACGGAATTATCTCAGCTTGCTAACAACCTTGTTACAAGCCCCTTGCGAAAACTTTAATTGACATGTTGATGGAAAGGTATTGTAACAACTTGTTAACAAGCTTGCTACAAGCCTGTTGTGAAAATTTTATTTGACAAGTTGATGGAACAAAATTATCACAACTTGTTAACAAGCTTGCTATAAGCCTGTAGCGAAAAGTCTATTTGACAAGTTAATGGAACAGAATTATCTCAACTTGTTACCAAGCTTGCTACAAGCCTGTTGCGAAAAGTTTATTTGACAAGTTGATGGAACAGCATTGTCTCAACTTGTTAACAAGCTTGCTACAAGCTTGTACCGAAAATTTTATTTGACAAGTTGATGGAACAACATTGTCACAACTTGTTTACAAGCTTCCTACAAGCCTGTTGCGAAAATTTTCTTTGACTAGTTGATGGAACAACATTGTCACAACTTGTTAACAAGCTTGCCACAAGCCTGTTCCGAAAATATTATTTGCCAAGCTGATGGAACAACAGAGTCACAACTTGTTTACAAGCTTGCCACAAGCCTGTTGCGATAATTTTCTTTGACAAGTTGATGGAACAACATTGTCACAACTTGTTAACCAGCTTGGTACAAGCCTGTTGCAAAAGTCTTTTTGACAATTTGAAGAAACGGAATTTCTCAACTTGTTAACAAGCTTGCTACAAGCCTGTTGCGAAAAGTCTATTTCACAAGTTGATGGAACGGAATTATCACAACTTCAGTGCTAACAACCTTGGTACAAGCCTGTTGCGAAAGGTTTGTTTGACAAGATGATGGAACGGAATTATCTCAACTTGTTAACAAGCTTGCTACAAGCCCGTTGCAAAAAGTCTATTTGACAAGTTGATGGAACGGAATTATCTCAACTTGTTACCAAGCTTGCTACAAGCCTGTTGCGAAAAGTCTATTTGACAAGTTGATGGAACGGAATTTTCTCAACTTGTTAACAAGCTTGCTACAAGCCTAAGGCGAAAAGTCCTTTAGACAAGTTAATGGAACGGAATTTTCTCATCTTGTTAACAAGCTTGCTACAAGCCTGTTGGGAAAAGTCTTTTTGACGATTTGATGGAGCGGAATTATCTCAACTTGTTAACAAGCTTGCTACAAGCCTGTTGCGAAAAGTCTATTTCACAAGTTGATGCAACGGAATTATCAGAACTTGCTAACAACCTTGGTACAAGCCTATTGCGAAAGGTCTATTTGACAAGTTGATGAAACGGAATTATCTCAACTTGCTAACAACCTTGCTACAATCCTGTTGCAAAAATTTTATATGGCAAGTTGATGGAAATATATTGTCAAAACTTGTTAACAAGCTTGCTACAAGCCTGCTGCGAAAATTTTATTTGATAAATTGATGGGACAACATTTTCACAACCTGTTAACAAGCTTGCTACAAGCCTGTTGCGAAATTTTATTTGAGAAGTTGCTGGAACAACATTGTCACAACTTGCTAATAAACTTGCTACTAGCCTGTTGCGATAATTTTCTTTGACAAGTTGATGGAACAACATTGTCACAACTTGTTAACCTGTTTGCTACAAGCCTGTTGCGAAAAGTCTTTTTGACAATTTGAAGGAAAGGAATTATCTCAACTTGTTAACAAGCTTGCTACAAGCCTGTTGCGAAAAGTTTATTTGACAAGTTGATGGAACGGAATTATCTCAACTTGTTAACAAGCTTGCTACAAGCCCGTTGCGAAAAGTCTATTTGAAAAGTTGATGGAACGGACTTATCTTAACTTGCTAACAACCTTGCTACACCCTGTTACAAAACGTCTATTTCATAAGTTAATGGAACGGAATTATCACAACTTGCTAACAACCTTGGTAGAAGCCTGTTGCGAAAAGTCTATTTGACAAGTTGATGGAACGGAATTATCTCAACTTGTTAACAAGCTTGCTACAAGCCTGTTGCGAAAAGTTATTTCACAAGTTGATGGAACGACATTATCTCAACTTGTTAACAAGCTTGCTACAAGCCCGTTTCGAAAAGTCTATTTGACAAGTTGATGCAACGGAATTATCACAACTTCCTAACAACCTTGCTACAAGTCTGTTGCAAAACGTCTATTTCATAAGTTGATGGAACGGAATTATCACAACTTGCTAACAACCTTGGTACAAGCCTGTTGCGGAAAGTCTATTTGACAAGTTGATGGAACTGAATTTTTTCAACTTGCTAACAAGCTTGCTACAAGCCTGTGCCGAAAAGTCTATTTGACAAGTTGATGGAACGAAATTATCTCAACTTGTTAACAAGCTTGCTACAAGCCAGTTGCGAACAGTCTATTTGACAAGTTGATGGAACGTAATTATCTCCACTTGCTAACAAGCTTGCTACAATCCTGTTGCAAAAATTTTAT